TCCTAAGTCTGAAATTCTTTTTGACTATAAGGTCCACAGATTTGGAAAGTACTCCTCGAGACCTTTCATTTGTGCCCAGCCTCGACACCGCTTCATGTTTAGTTTCTGTTTTGCGGACGCTTTTATCTGCAATTTCCCTAAAATTGAGCGATAATTCTTCAGAAAATGCCAAAAATTCCTAAGTCTGAAATTCTTTTCGACTATAAGGTCCACAGATTCGGAAAGTACTCCTCGAGACCTTTCATTTGTTCCCAGCCTCGACACCGCTTCATGTTTAGTTTCTGTTCTGCGGACGCTTTTATCTGCAATTTCCATAAAATTGAGCGATAATTCTTCAGAAAATGCAAAAAATTCCTAAGTCTGAAATTCTTTTTGACTATAAGGTCCACAGATTCGGAAAGTACTCCTCGAGACCTTTCATTTGTGCCCAGCCTCGACACCGCTTCAGAAAATGCAAAAAATTCCTAAGTCTGAAATTCTTTTTGACTATAAGGTCCACAGATTTGGAAAGTACTCCTCGAGACCTTTCATTTGTGCCCAGCCTCGACACCGCTTCATGTTTAGTTTCTGTTTTGCGGACGCTTTTATCTGCAATTTCCCTAAAATTGAGCGATAATTCTTCAGAAAATGCAAAAAATTCCTAAGTCTGAAATTCTTTTCGACTATAAGGTCCACAGATTCGGAAAGTACTCCTCGAGACCTTTCATTTGTTCCCAGCCTCGACACCGCTTCATGTTTAGTTTCCGTTCTGTGGACGCTTTTATCTGCAATTTCCCTAAAATTGAGCGATAATTCTTCAGAAAATGCAAAAAATTCCTAAGTCTGAAATTATTTTTGGCTATAAGGTCCACAGATTCGGAAAGTACTCCTCGAGATCTTTCATTTGTGCCCAGCCACGACACCGCTTCATTTTTAAATATTTTATTCTCGGTTTAAATGTAGAGTGAAGGGTTTCAAAGTTTTTCAACGTAAATTTTAATTAGGTTTTTTTTAGCGATTTCATTTTAAATTTGAAATTTGTAGGGAAAATTATGAAATTTGATGAAAACTAATATAATTTAGTTTACCTTTAATTTTTTCTGGTTTACTACTCCCTCTCTCTATCTCTCCCTCTCTCTCTCTTTCTCTCTCTCTCTCTTTATTAACCCTTTGTGAACGGGAGAAAAAGTCACCTTGGTTTGTGTCTTTGCTAGTTAAATTTAAATTTATCTTGACGGACATCTCCTTCAGCTACCTCCCTCACAAAAGGGGTCAAAATGCTCATCCAATTTTGTACAAACTTTGCATATCCCAATATTTGTGACAGTGTCCACTCCATCATGTACCTACCCCACAAAGGTTCAAAATTTCCAATTATTATAATTCTCCTAAAATGCGAACTATACATCCGATTCTCTTTAAACACAAGGTACCTTCTGGTACCTCCACCACAAAAGGGTCAACATTCTGAATAACCTTGAAGCTCATAGAACGCTAAATGAGCATACTATTATTTTTAAATTCTGCACATACCAATATTTCTGTCACCACAAGATCATGTGTGAAGATGGAATATGGCGTACTATTCCTTCTAGGTCCACAACTATATATGGCCTCAATATGTATAAAAATACAACCAATTATGAGTATTGTGCACATATTTACCACAAAATTCAACTGAATAGACCAGAGCTGCGGGGTCGGAGTAGAAGTCGAAAAAAAATAAATCAACTACACTCTCGACTAGAAAGAGCCAATAAAATGGAGCTTAAAAACCTGGCTGGTTTGTATCGAAAATTTGCTAAATCGGTCAACGTTTAGGTGTGTTACCAATGTTGCAATGTTCTCTGATTTTCAGAATTCTAAATGTTTCAGAGAGCAGTAGACATATTAGAATTGGGTTTTCTCTTAGGTCCACAACTATATTTTTTTAAGATTTTAAAAGCCCATTTTTTGGGAATTTGTTTTTTTTTTAATTTTTTTTTCAGAGATAGGTGCTTATACCCTGATTCCGGGAGGATAATTTTTCCTTGAGGGAAGAACCCAGTTACCTAGATATTGGACCCAACATTAAGTTCCAAAATCCGGGTAATCCAACCAGTGGTCACATGATGGGGTTATTTAAAACAGGGAGTTGTATTTTGATTTTTTGGGTCCGGATTTAAAAAAAAATATCTCCAAAAATCGAAATATGTCCCATATTGGAATTCCCAAAAAAAAAAAATCATAAATAAATAAATTACACTCTAAACCTTTCCGAAATGTTACAATTATGCCATTTTTTTCCTGGATCCAGTTATATGTGTCTTTGAACCCAGACTATCCCATTCTGCTGAATTTTTCTAAATTTTATGCTGTTTTATGTAGCTAGCCTTCCACCGGGGCTTGAGATTAATTTTTTTCTAGATTTGATCCCTTTTTTAAGGGGGCTTGAGATTTGTTTCTTCGGTTAACCGAACCAAAGTTTTCCGAATTTTCATATTGTTTTAATTAGCTGTCCTTCGGCTGGGGCTTGATATTTTATCTTCTTGGTATATCCAACACCGGCTATGCGAAGTAACGAACCTTTCCAAGGTGGAGGGTGTAAAAATATTCGTCGTAGACCCCATAAAGTATATATATTCATAATCAGCATAAAATTCTAAGTCGATTTAACGATGTCCGTCTATCTGTCTGTCAGTCGGTCTGTCTGTTGAAATCACGATACAGCCCACATTATTTGACGTAGGCCGTCAGCATTTAGCAGAACAATTTGTATTGTGTTTAGGATGGTTGGTATTGAAAATGGGATATGTCGGTCCACGTTTTGGTATAGTCCCCATATAACGGTACCTCCCAATATTCAGTATTTTTATGATTTTTGCCACATTTTTTCATGGATTTGTCTAAAAATTGGTATTTGTTGGCCATAATAGGTTCTAGCTTCGGTGCCGAAACATTGCATGTATAGATCCAGGCTTTGGTATAGCCCCCTATAATGATAGCTCCCGATATTCGGTATTTGGATGATTTTCGCCACATTCTTTCACGGATTTGTCTAAAAATTGGTGTTTATTGGTCATAATGGGTTCTAATGTTTCCTTTACTCTAAGGTGGAGGGTATTAAAAGTCTCGCCAGGCCGAACTTAATATTTTTTTACTTGCTTATTCTGAAAACATCAATTCAATGTACTGAGCATAATCGGCTAGTCCGGGATCAAAGACCCATATCTCTGAATCTCAGAAAGATAATAAGAAATATTGTAGCATTTTGGAAATGTTTTGAGGTATTTTTCGAAAAATTCGGGTCCATCAATCAATAATCTACAGATACAACTCTCGTGCTGTTTTGAATAACCACTGTGATCATTTGTGCGATAGGCCTTTTCATAACCATTCAAATAACCTTTCGTTATAGTAGGTCCGAGTCTAAACCGGGACTTGGACCCCAAGAAAAACTACTCTCTCGGAATCAGGGTTTAAAACCATACCTCTGGAATTTTTTTCAAAAAAAAAAAAGTTAAGCCTCGATGCGGAAATACAAATCAAAGAGTTTTTCTTACAATAAATATGACTTTTTTATACCCAACACCATATAGTGGTGAGGGTATTTTTCTTTGTGCATTTGTTTGTAACATGGAGAAGGAAACGAGATAGACCCATAGTTCTTTTTTGTGATCAGCACAGAATCACATTTTGAGTCGATTTATGTATGTCCGTCCGTCTGTCTGTCCATGTATTTTTGTAAACAAAATGCAGGTCGCATTTATTATTCGATTGAGATGAAATTTTCTAAATAACATTTGTTTGGCTCAAGAACGAACCTTATTGAAATTGGTGAAAATCGGTCCTATTTTAGGTTTCTTGCGCACCAAATTGCTAATATCAGTCCAAATGATGTTTACTTTTCTACATCCGACCAAATTCAGCCTACAAGCATGTGCTTCAAATTTGGTAAAAATCGGTTCAAATTTAGCTATAGCTCCCACATATATGTTTCATCCGATTTTGGTGTTTAAGTCCCTTACATTCGTGGAGTGCATATACCACAAGACTGATATTTAGCACTAGATATCAGATACAGCCCAGCAATTCATAGATCAAATTTTATCAAGTTCGGTTCAGATTTGGATATAGCTCCCATATGTATCTTCATTCGATTTTAGGTTTCTTGGCACCAAATGGCTAATATCAGTCCAAATGGTGTGAATTTGGGCACTTCAGACAGAATTTGGTATAGAAATAAGTACTTTACATTTGGTGGAAATCGGTTAAGATATAGCTCCCATATATATGTTTTATCCGATTTGGTGTTAAAATCTCCAACTTTCGGAATATGCACTCTACCATAATCATATTTTGTACCAGATATCTCATAGAGCTCAGAAATGCCCAATATAGACCTTTCTTTTACGAAAATTCTACTATATATGCATAGTGGTGTATGGTATCATATAGTCGGCACCTCCCGACTTTTGAGCATTCCTTAGTGTTTTTTTTTTTAAATCGAGCCGTTGGATAGTGACCAAAAATGGTCACAACGGTTCTCCGCAGCCCATGTATAGGCTACAGTTCAGTATTTGTTTATGTTATGTCAAAAAGCCAAAGCCCCAAATGTTAGGGATTATAAGTAAATTACTTTTCAGAATAACTTAAGATTTTTTATGATGGAGGTTAAAAAATAAGTCTTGTTTCTATCATTTGATCGAATTGTATAGAAACTTTAAATTCTTTCTTGATTTTAATTAGTCTTCTTAAATATATAGCCTTTTTGAAATCTATGGCCAAGAGTCGTCACTGTTAAATCTTTATGATAAAATTCCGCAATATCAAATGGGCCATAAATTTGCGTTTATTTTTTTTCATCCAAATTGCATACTTTCAATACAAAACAAAAATGATCTCTTTGAAGTCGTGAATGGTCCCACCAAAAACTTTCAGTTTAGTTTATCGAAATAAATCGCATTTAAGTGTTTAAATAAAATCAATAAATATTATGGCTCTATTGCATCAAAACAAAAATTTCCACAAAACATACATACCTCCTTTTAATGCCAAAAAATATCCGAATTAATTGTGGCCAAGGAATTTCACTTTATAAATAACACTTTACACTAAAAACTTGTTTAGGCCATAAAAATTGGTCATTAAAAAGATCGATTTGGTGGAATTTTTGATTTATCTTATAAAAATTCTTTTATTCAAATTCCAAATTCCTTATTGGCTCATAAAAGCGATTTTAATTTCCGATTTTTAATTTGTACGGCATAAAAGTGGCCAAAAATCATGGAAATTTTTTTCAAGTAAAAAATTTAAATTTTTTTGGTATTTAATTTAATTCAATTTTTGTTTTCTTTTTTTATTATTTGGTGGTAGGAACACATATTTGCACTACAACGCGGGGAGATCTCGTAAACAAGAACAAAGAAATGGGAAGAGAAAAAAAAACCTCATAAACTCATCATTAAACGTCAATCTCCACCGACGCATGCACTAGTCGCTTGCGGTATTTTGGTCATAAAATTTCAAAATTTTTTCTCCTCCTCCTATTATTTTTGGTAATCACAAATCATTTGATTATTTTTTCACAACGCATAACTTTCTTGCAATTTGTTGTCCAGCGTTTTGTTTAAATGTTGCCTTTGAACCGTTTTTTCGTTTTTGTTTTTTTTTTTTTCTGTTAAATACCGAGCAGTGTGTTTTACTAGCGCGACTGACTGCTTACCAAAAATGCCAATAAACAACTAACCAACATCGTTGAGTGCCACACAGGCCTCTGGAGAACGAACAGCGAGAAAATGGAAATAATGAAAACATTCTACCGCAGGCACTGCATTCATTCATTCATTCTTGGCTGTGGTGGAGAGATGTTCGTCGCTTGACTCGTTATCGCTATTGGCGGCAGCATATCGAAGAGCGGGCGATATAGTACAATTATCAGTGCGTAATTTGCCAATATGTATAGGTACCCACCTAGCTCCGTTTGTAATTAAGAAGCAAGGTGGAAAATGAGAAAGAGACACGACCACAGGTGGGGAAGAAGGGAAAATATGTAAATAAACTTGAGAAAGTCAAGCAAAGACAATTCTGCGAGGATAGCACCGCAAGCAATCGCAGTGGAAATTACAACATTACAACAAACATTTTGGGCCTATGGCGTTGTGGTGTCTTCGAACACATGCACGTGAACACGAGCATCCGTTCAAGTAATTGAATGCAAACACACAAAGGATAGGTACAGTCGAATACAGATATGATAGACAAAGGAGACGAAACAAGTGTGGATTTCGTTTTAAAAATAATTTTTTTATCCTCATTTGCCCCAGAAAATATATTTTTGAAAGGTTACATTTTCATGGAAAACTTTTTAACAATGTTTGACTGTAACACCATCTTTAGCTATTTTATGATTTCCAAAAACTCATATAAAGCCCATGTAATGAGTTTTCGACATTAAAATACATTTGAACGCATCTTTAATTGGCATACACCTCAATGTGGTTAGTTAGCCAAAATCGGTACGAGGGACGTATGATGGTGGTGGTCGAATCAACAGGTTGGTCTGCACCAAAAGGGGTTATGTATGTCAATTCAAAATGATTATTTTTAACGCCTCAAAATTGGATAGTCAGCTAACAAATCTCATTACCTAAACCAGTAAAGAAACTGATGATAATCGGTTCAAATTTAGATTGGCATTCAATATGTATTTTTGTCCAATTTCAATTTCATTGTGCACCACCATATTTGTAATATTCGTCTTTATTATGCTTTAAATTTGGTGAAAATCAGTTCAGATATATATGTTTCATCCGATTTGGGGTTTAACCCTCAATTTCGTTATATGTACTCCACAACAATAATATTTGATACCAGATATGGGATACAGCTTAAAAATACCTCTCTCAAGTTGCATCAGTATCGGTTCAGATTTGGATATAGCTACCAAATATATGTCTTTCTACGATTTCACGTTTATTTTTGCAACAAATGATTAATATCAGCCTAAATCATCTGACTGAAATCAGCCTATATTACTTTAATTTTTGTGAATATCTGATCAGATATACAGCGTGAGATAAAACAAGTAAAAAAGCAGTAAGTTCGGCCGGACCGAACTTTGAATACCCTCCACCATTTGAAACGAATTATGGCATTTTCACAAAATAGAAATAAAATCCATTAAAAATTCTGTTAAAATCTCGGAAGGTGCCGATATATGGGGGGATAAACGATATTATGGACTTATATAGACAAATCTATGCCTAGGGATAAAGTACTCACAAAGAACTCTTTGTATAGAATTTAAGACAATACCGTTTAAAAATGTGGCTAAAATCATCAAAATACCGAATATCGGAGGGTACCGTTATATGGGGGATATACGATATCATGGACCTATATAGAAAACTCCCAGTCAGGAGGTAAAGTGTTCATAAAGAACCCCTTGTGTAGAATTTCAGACAATTGCGTTGAAAAATGTGGCTAAAATCATCAAAATACCGAATATGGGGGGTACTATTATATGTGGACAATATGATATCGTGGACCTATATAGATAATTCTCTTTGAATGAATAAAGTACTTACAAGAAATTCGTTGTGCGGATTTTCAGACAATTCCATTGGAAAATGTGGCTAAAATCCTCAAAATCCCGAATATCGGGGAATACCGTTATATGGGGCATATACGATATTTTGGACCTATATAAACAATTCCCTTTCAGGGGGTAATGTGCTCAAAAGGAACCCCTTGTGTAGAATTTTAGACAATTCCGTAGAAAAATGCGACTAAAATCATCGAAATACCGAATATCGGGGCTACCGTTATATGGGGGATATACGATATCGTAGACCTATACAGACAATTCTCTTTCAGGGGGTAAAGTGCCCACAAAAAACACCTCGTGTGGATTTTCTGACTATTCTATTAGAAAATGTGGCTAAAATCATCAACATACAGAATATCGGGGGGTACCGCTATATGGGGCTTATACGATATCGTGGACCGATATATATATGGAAGCTATATGCAAATCTGAACCGATCTCGATAAAATTTGCAAAGGTATTTCTGAGCTGTATTTGATATATTTCCCCAAATATTTTGTTGCAGAGTGCATTTTACGGCTGCGGAGGACAAAAATAACAAATAGGATGAACAATATATATGGGAGCTATAGCTATATCTGAACCGATTTCGATCAAATTTGGCATACTTATTTTCAGGTCCAATCTGATCATACGTGCAAAATTTCATCGGACTGATTTTACACGTTTGGCGCACAATAAAAGGCAAATCGGACGAAGATATATATGGGAGCTATATCTAATTTTTTACCGATTATCTCCAATTTCAATAGGGTTCGTCCTTGGGCCAAACAAATGATTTGTGCACAATTTCATCTGGATAGGGCAATAAATGCGAACTGTACTTTGTTTACAAAAATACTTGGACGGACGGACGGACGGACATGCATAAATCGACTCAGAATGTGATTCTATGCAGATCATCAAACGGAACTATCTATATGTCTATCTCGTTTCCTTTTGCCTGTTACAAACAAATGCACAAAGACATAATACCCTGACCACCTTGTGGTGTAGGGTATAATTATTACAAGAAAACTTTGTAATAAACTGAAAAACTATTTCAATACTACGCAATGATATGGTTGCTGTCTGCTACGTCGACCCAATAATAATCGACAATTTACTACTGTTTACTTAGAAAATTAACAGGTGTCTGTCTCGGTATTTAGTTTGTATTAATTGGCATTTCAATTGAACATAACAACGGCAATTATCCAGTTTTCTGTCATTCATGTTACAATCGTGGTGTTGTAGTCCGGAAACAAAAATTTCATTTGAAAATAGCTTTTATTAATGACTTTTATTTTGAAAGATGAACAAAAGAAGAAAGGCGTTCTAAGTTCACAAGACCAGTTTTTTTGTAGCTTTTCCCATAACTCTGCAAAATATTAGTAGGCGTATTTGCCACTGCATTGCTAGTCATAGAAAAATTTACTATGTGAGCAGTATGGACTGAATCATGGAATTCATGCGCTTAATATAATTTTTTTCCCAAAATTTTGAATGTTTGTGGAGAGGTACCAGAAACTTTGATCCATTATATCCCAACGTCACACCGGACTTCGTATTAATAGAAATATTAAATAGTTCGACGAAGATCTGTGTATTATTTCCCGATGCGCGAAATTTTAACCAAATCGAAAATATTTGGGTTGTTTGAATTAGAAGTCCGATATAGACGATACTGAAACCCGATCAAAGTTTGAAGAATATATATTCGATCAACCAGGCTGATGGATGGATGCCCCAAATGTCCTGAAACAAATTTGTTTGGCGCAAGGATGTACCCTTTTGATATTGGTGAGAATCGGTTCAAATTTAAATGCAGGTAGCATATATACAGGGTCAGATAAAAAAACGCCATTAATTTTTTTTTTTACATTTTATTGAATGAATTGGTCACCTTGGGCACGAATTATGGCCTCCGAACGGCCAATTATACCGTCAGACGCTGCCCGAATGTTGCTCTGCGGTATTTTGACCCATTCCCGGCGAAGCGCTTGCTTAAAGTGATTGACGCTATGGTATTTTTTAGTGCCACCTTTGCTCTCCAAAATACTCAAGACACAATAGTCCAACGGATTGGTATCCGGAGATTTCGGTGGCCATTGTGCGCTGGAAATGAAGTGAGAACCTCATTTTGTAACTATTATTGGGTGGCGCGTGCTGAGTGTGTTGGTGCTGAGTCCTGTTTGAATGTCGCGGCCAAAATGTTTGCGTGCCCAAGGCTTTAACACACCCTCCAGAATATTTTCGGAGAGCTACCATCGACTGTTATGGGGACCCACACCATCACCATGGCAGGCGTTTGAGTTCTGGTGGCCAACCGAAGGTGCACATTTTCAGCTGACCTCTTTGGCAAGTAAACACGATCATTTTGTTTGTTTACAAACTGCTGGACAACGAATGTTTTCTCATCGGAGAAAACCAAATTCGGCATTTCACCACTTTCGGCCAAGCGAAGCAACTCTTTAGCTCTTTCGAGCCAATTTTCTTTCTGTTGCGTTGTAAATTATTGCACTTTTTGGGATTTCAATGGCTTCACCCCGAGCTCGTTTTTCAATATTTACCGAATGGAATATTGCCATATGTTCAGCTCATGAGCCATTTTTCGGTCACTGCGACGTGGGTTTCGATCAAGTCTCGTCTTTACTTTTCGAACCATTTCTGCTGATGTTGCTGTTTTCTTTCGTTCACTTCCTTTACGTCGGGCTACGTCACGGTAACGAGCGATGGTACGAGACACAAAAGATTTATTCAGATTTAAATGCTGGAGTGCTCTAACGATAGCCACTTGTGGTTTTTAGCCAAATATAAAGAAATCACACTATCACGCTTGAATTCCATCACGAATAATTTTTTTTTTTTTTTGGAAAATTCTCACAAAAATCCTTTTATACGATTGTAAACAATATAATGAGCTGTCACTGGAATAATTTTAACAGCTGTCGGACGAGTGGCTTAGAAAAAACAGCAGTCTGAATTTGGTTGCAGTTTTTTCATCTCACCCTGTAGTGGTGTGGGTATCATATAGTCGGCTCAGCCGGACTGTTGCCCTTTCCTTACTCGTTTTTTTAATCAATTTAAAACCCATTAAAGCAATCATTACAGATATTAAAGGTACCGGTCAAATAC